CAGAGGCTGGACGTGGCCTGTGTCAGGTGATGGTGGGAGGTAGGATTTTCAACAGAGTGCTGGGGAATGGCTCCTGGAGTCTCTTGATGAGGATGAGAGCTGCTTCATTTGTGCTCTCCCCTTCTCCTGCTGTGCTTCAGCCATGGCTTTTGTTCTAGGCTGTGACTTCTCTTCCTTTCATTGGGCTGCAATCCCCAAGAAAACTTTTAATCTGCATTTTCTCACCTAACCCTGCCTATCCTGGGATCAGAGCTGGTGATAAGACCATAGCCCTATTGTTATTGTGAGCTTAGCCTTACTAAAGGAATATTCACAGCCTACAGAGCTGAAATGACTAACCTGAACCTCACAGCCCCATTGTGCATATTTCCACAACCTGTTTACATCCCTCTCAACTGCCAGTGCCCTTGCTTTGGAGGATGACAGTAGCACCTCATTCCTCCATGGCTCTGACAGCTGGAGCAAGGGCCTGAGGCTGAGTCCAGGCCTCATTTTGGGAGCAAAGCCCCTGTGGGATTTCTTTATGGATGTTTTATGGTCAGTGGTGCTGGGATGCATGACCCTGATGGACACAGATGTGCTGGCAGAAGCCTCTAATGCTTTAGAAAGGTTGTGGTGAAAGCAATCCAAGGGAAGTATGGAATAGGCTAAAGCTGTGACAGTGCATTTGTTAGCTTAGCAAAGGCCCTGCTAGCAGGATTTCACTGGATTGTTTCACTGTGTTGTAGTCTCAGTATAGCATTTTGCTTCCTCTGCTGGCAGCACAGGTGAGGAAATGGTCTGAGACCATCCTCACCATTCCTGCTGGCCATGGGCTCTGCTGGTGTCTCCTGGCCACTTACTGTGAGCCTGCTCTGCTGGCCTAGACCTTGGCAGCTCAAAGGAAAAGGAGTCAGTCTTGGGACTGGTGAGACATTGCTCTGTTCAACACAGCATTAGCCAGGGCCAGCTGGTACAGCTGAACGTGAGGTGGAGTCTCCCAGCACTGAGATCCCTTTCCAGGGACTTGGTGGCAGGCACCTTGCAGAGGGGCAGAGACAGCTCTCACTGTGCATCCAGTAGTTGGCTCTGCAAGGCCACTGAAGGAAAATTAGATGTTTTGCCCTCAAAGATGCATCTTCTGGGTGACTCTGCCCTTTTGTCTTCTCTCTCTTCCCTGTGCACTAAGGTGTATTCACAGAACCACAGATGGATTTGGGTTGTAAGGGACTCTAGAAGTCTCAAGTCCAGCTGACCATGGCAGAGCTCACTTGAGACCGAGTTGTTTAGGGCTTTGTCCAGTTGAGTTTTGAGGACTTCCAGGGCCAGGGAGTCCATGGCCTGTTCCCAGGCTGTGGCATTTTCCTTTGGAGAGCCACCTGCTGTGCCTGCAGCTTCTCTCTCCAGCTGTCTGTAGCTGCTTGTGTGATGTGCCAGGACTTTGTGTCAGGTCGTCTGTGTCCTGCAGCATTTGGGCAACAGGTAGAGAGATCTGGGGGCCATCTGTTTTTTACCACTTCCAGGTCTTTTATTTCTTTTAATCAGTGTCTCAATATTCCTAAGGCAGTTTCAACATACCCTGCTCAGGAATGCAGTACACCTCCAAGCCTTTTTTGTTGTGCTTGAGATAGTACTGCCAAAGCTTTTTTACGCTGTCACCCCCTTCTTCTGCATTTAACGCTATTTTGGCAGATGTTGTCATGTGGTGAGGGGTGAGCCTTGAAAGAAACATTGCTTATTCATGCTATAGACACAAAGCTGGTCCTTGAAGCTGAATTGCTCTGCAGATACCAGGCGTTGCTGCTGTGCATGTACCTGGATTGTTAGTCCTTTCTCTGTTGCAAAGCCTTGACACCTTGTGCTTGGGGGAATCCTGGTTTTACAAGAGGATATGAGAGGATCCAAGCAGCTTCAAACTGCTGCCAGGATGGCATTCTGGATGGATGAGCACACTCCTGTTGGTTGTCTTAGAGTTTGCTGCTAGTACGGAGGTCTTGGCTTAGCGGCAAGTACCTCTGAGATTGAGGAATGTTGTCAGGTACGTTTGAAGTGTGGCAGGGAATCTCTTGGTAAACCTAATTCCAGGCAATTCTTGCAAGATTTCTGAAATTTGTCCTTCTTGCACTTTCTTGAAGCTGAGGTGAAGTTTCTGGAATGCAAGCTCAGAATCTAGTTTGGTCATTCCTGCCTCTGAGGAGACTGGTGGTTGCTGTTCTGCAGCACCATCTCCTCTGTGCTGGAGGATTTGGGCTTTCTGGGTTCTGGGTGATTGCTGTACTGTGTTTGAGGCTTTCAATGTGAGCTGGTACTCCTGCTCTGGCAAAGGTAGTGGTGGTCTTGGTCCCTTCTGGCTTTGTGGGACTGTTAGAAAACAGTTGCTGGAGTCTTGAGGCTGCTGGTGATATTCTGGGAAAGCCCTTATTTTCCCCATATGCCAGTTCCTATTGTGTAGACAGTGCCAGGCACATGTGAAGGCTGGCCTGGAGGGGACATGGTGACAGCAGTCTAATTAGGAACCAATAGTACATTTGGAGATGAGACAACTGTTCACTGAGCCCTGCCTGCAGACCACAGGCTGAAGGACTTACCAGTGACATCCTGCAGTAGCTAAAGCTGGCTTGGAGAGAGTCACTGAATGCTGTTGTAAAACCTCCAAGTCACAGAGGGCTTACAGATCCTGGGGTCAGTTGTTTAAGCATCTGTTTCTGAGTTTGTCCAACTTTGATTTCCAGCTTTTTGAGTCCTCATACGGTGCATTTGTCATCTCTGAAGGGTCCTCTGCTGTAGATCTTCTTACCTTGTGACTTTTTTTGAGGTGGGTCATGTCTCCCCATTTCTTTTCAGTGAACAAAATAGTTTATTACTGGAAGGTGTTTTCTGAGCCATGGTTGATTGATAAAGCACTGGGATTCTTGCATTACTGTTCAGATTAAAAAAAAATATTTTAAACATCTCAGCTCTTCCAATAACTGTCATCAAGTGTAGACAGTAGCCAAGAATGAGACAGTAATGGTCTAATGTGGTCGTGTGTGCAAGTAGCACTGTACTGAATGTCAGCAGTGGGTTTTGTGCTCTTGAAGGCTGAATTTGGGCTGCAGGGTAAGAGCTCAGAGAGCTGCCTCTCCAAAACCAAAATCCTTTCTGCTCCTTTCTGGAGAATTTGGACTGGACTGAAACCTTGTCCTCAGCAGTGTCCTTAATTTAATGGCGATTCTTCATAAATCCATTTGCTTTAAGATGAGTTGAACAATCTGTAATAAAGGTTTGCAGTGCTTGAATTTAGAAAGCTGTCAACTGCCCACATAAACTCAGCTAAGTCACAGCAGTGAAGTTGACTTTTGCCACATTTGTCACTCAAGGTGTAATATTGTTAATGAAGATATGTTAACCATGCTGGTAGGACATGATATTATTTCCTTAATGTTTTATTGGTAGAATAAAACATTTATTGTATTGACACTGTTGGGACTTTTTGAGAAATACTAGGTTGAGTGTTACTGTTTATTCAAAAATGTGGCACAAAACATAGGGGTTTCTGAAGAGCTCTGCTCAGGTCTTACAGAGCTCATAGGTAGGAAGTGGCTGAAATGTTAATATAAGCGTCTTAATTTTTGTAGTTATTAGTTAATTCTTTTCATATTTCACATGATCTCTAATAGTGAAAAAGATAAATCCTTCAGCCTTCAAAAGGATTGAAAATCTGAATCCATATCCATGAAAGAAAGTCGAGGACAGGTCCCCAAGCAGTTGCTGTTCCTTTACTAGAGGAGAGCAGTAACTGCATGGCTGTGCTTTTTTTTGTGGGTAGTAAAGACTTCTGAGATATTCACTTCATTGTGAGGGAGTGGCAACAGTATTTTTTCTAACAGTCTGGTTTTAGTTAAATGTTTGATGGTAGATCCACATTTGTATAGTCAGGCCACGTGTTCCCTTGCTAATAGTTACCCGAGGACACTGAAGATCCGTGCAGTTCCACCACCACTGATGTCTTTAATAAACTGAATAAAGTCCCAGGTAGTCACTTGGTGTGCTTGGGTGTCCTGGCAGAGATGTCACACCCTGAGCTGCCATGTCTGGGAGGAGATCCACGTGCCCCCTCTTCGGCAGAAAGGTCAGGGCAGGTCTGGTAATCACTGGATTTGGCAGTCAGTGTTGTGTTCTGTCCCAGTCCTGCACGCTCGGGGAGGACTCTCAGCCATCCCATCACTTCTTTGGAAACTCTTGCACGCTCCTTGGGAAGCAGTGTGCTGCAGGCTGGTGTGCAAGGGACTTTGCTCCTTGAACTTATTCTCTTCCCAAGGATATATCTGTTATTGAATACTCCAGAGAGGTGCTGAGTGCTAAGTAAGGAGTTTCCAAATGACCAGTGGAGCAGTTGTATCTGCTGTAACGTGCAGGATTTCAGCACACTGCCTCCTCTTTGTTTGGCCAAGTCGTGCTCCAGTGTACTCTCCTCACTGCCAGGTATGTGGCTGGAAAAGAGGAAGATTTCAAGCAGACCAGTGAGCAAATCCCAGTGACTGAGCTGGTCCTGGAATAAAAAAGATGATGACCTGTGGTGGATCATTTCAGCATCTGCCAAAAACAATAAGCTGTTCTGCTTCTGTTGTAGAAAGTGAGAAAAGACTTTACCAGAAGAAAAGTGCACGCTCCGTTTGCAGCTTAACTCACTGTGAAGCTCAGCAGAAAGCCCAGATGAATCTGAGTGCCTGGGGCAGACAGAAGTAGAGCTTCTTACCTTGCTGCAGCTGAGCAGCTCTAATTTCTTTAGGTAGAGTTTGACTTCAGAGCAACTCACAGAACTGGAAAGCATCGTTTTCTCCTGTTCTGAGGGCCACCCTCTTCATCCTCATCCACTAGTAGTTGAAAGCCATTGTAAAGAATTCATTGTCAGAGACATTCCTTGCTTTCCCACTCAGACTGTCACCATTATGTTGGGTCCAGCTTCAACTCTTAACTCCATCAGCTTTTCCAGATTCTCATAAATACACCAAGAGTTAGCATTCATGTGCCCTGTAACCCCTTGGAGCTCTGCTGCAGCAGGTTGAAAACAAACAGAAGGAAAATACTTTTAAAAACTAAATGTTAAGCTGCAGAAAATAGAGCCACTGGAATTTCTGGAGTATAAGTTGGTTCAAAGTGGGATTAGGCAGACTCACAGAGGATTTGCCCAGTACAGACTCTTAACAGTGACATTGTCAGTGCAACTCAAGCCGAGTGGTTCTTCAGCAGCTGAGTCCTGCCTGATCAGAGGATAAGCTGAAGAGGAACATCCTTTTAGTTATGTTTCTTATACTCTCTCCTCAGGTGTCCATTCTTGGTGTGAATAGGAACAGGATACTCGAGTACGTGGTCCTTTCATTGGACTGAGTGCAGTAGTCCTTAGCTTTGCACGTCCCAAGAGGAGGTTTTGGGTCCTTCACCAGAACGTGTGAGCTGTTCTGCTGGGAGGATTCTGATGAAAGGGGACAGCACCTCGAACACACGGGCGAGCTCAGGGCTTCCAACCAGAGTGTGCAAGTGAGTGGTCTTAGAGCAGAGTCTGGGATCTGCAGAAAGGTCTGCCTGTCCCAGCCACATACCAATAGTTTGGAATTGCCTTAATCTGCAGAATACTTGTTCTCTTTAAGATTTTTGTTGGTCAGTGATGTCGCCATTAATGTCAGAGTTTTGTCTTTTCATTGTAATGCCCAGAGCTTGAAAGCAGTGTTAATGTGTGCACTGCTGAAAGCAGATGCCTTTGGTCTACTTGTAGAACACAAATTGCATGGCACGTTCACAGATTAATTGTTGCTTGCATTATCCTCTGGAAGGGAATACCCAAATGGATTTGTTTCCAGGATCTGTTTCTACCAAGCAAAGCCTAGGCCAGCTGAATGTGGCAAATACTGTAGGAAGTCAGCTTAGTGGTTCATTGCAGACTCATACCAAGTGTCTGAGGTGATTTTGAGGAATATGTTAGCCTTATTAGGTATACCTATAAATAAACTTTCCTTATTCGTCTGGGTGGCTTGTCATGTTTTTGCTTATTGTTGTAGGGTCTACTGTCTGTCTGGGGGACATCTTTGAGCAGGAGGCATTGTTTGTATTCTGAGCAGCAGAAAAAAATGTGTTTATCATCTTGGGAGGGTTCTCATTTGCTTCAAATCCCTAGGACCCTTCTTTCATATGTCTTTGTTTCTATTTCACTTTGTTCTTCTTTCTGTCAGCCACCCTAAAACACGTATTAGATCTTGTAATGCTCTGGAATTATTCTAGAAGTTTTGTCTCCTCTTGTAACTAAAAGTAAACAGAATCACCAAAGTCTTTAGTGATGAAACTTGCTGGGCATCTCAGAAGATTACATTTCCTGTGGTTTATGTTCATGATTGTGGGAACAGTGCTTATCTGCCACCAGGAAACAGAAAACTTCACTGTGTTTTAAGATAAAATAAGGAAACAGTGGCTTTGAAATCCAGATGTTTGGTATGATTTCACTAAACTCCTGCTTGAGTGAGGTTCAGAAGTTGGGTACATTCTTTGTCTGAATATGTCCTGTTTAGTTCTGAGCAAACCATTTGTGAGTGAGACTTGGTTATCATTTCAGAACAAAGGATATGAAGAAAGAATTAAACAGCTATCACCGGTGAAATTATTTCAGGCTTCCTCCTTCATTGATATAGATGAGTTATGCTCATAGTAAGCCCCAGTTGACAGGAACACTGGATTTCTGGTTCAGGGCTTATAACAGTGCCAAATTTAGAATTAGAATTGCTCTGATAGGGAGGGGTAGGTTGGTGCCACATCTTTTGATTCTAGTGCCTTTCTTGTAGCGTCTACCTACAGCCTGTTTTGGGGACGTGATGCTACTTGAAGTCTTACTCTGCCTTACCACTTGTAGACTGCAGCTCCTACTCCCTTTCCCTCTTCAGGTTTGTCAACCATTCTCTCTTTGTGGGGGTATAATTCATTTTTAGACAATATTACTTGTCTCATCTCAAAGCCTTGACCTTTCTGTCTTGTGATAATGCCGAGCATGAGGAGCTGGGCTGTAACTTTCCCTCTGAGGCTGGCAGTCTGCACCACACCTTCCTGCTCAAGAGCACTGTCTGTGCCCTGCAAAGTCACACTGGTCTTTTTCCTGACTCTGCATTGCGTGCTTGTGTCTACTTTGCTACTTGTTCTTCTTCTTATGACTGCTTTTAGTGTCAGACTTTCTTCTTGCCACTCTCCAGAACTCCTCCCCGTTCTAACTTAAGCTTTTCCAATTGTTCTGTGTCTGAATATTAGCCCACGTAGTTTTGGGGCTATGCAGTAGCTGTAGTTACACTGTAACATTGTTTTTATCTGTCCTCTGGCAAAATTAATGCATCTTGTCATCCTCTATCTTGTTAAGGCTACGGGGCTTTATTTCTACCTCTATTTAAGAGAGGTTTAAGAGCAAAGATATTTTAAAACTAAAAGATGTGTTAGCTCCATGAGAACAGATCAAGAGAAAGGACATACCAGATTATTTGGATAGAGAGGAAGGCGAGGATGGAGATGTCAGACACCACAGAACAGCTGTGTGGAACCTCCTGAATTGGTACTCAATTTCTGATACCCCCCTGTGTCACTGAGCATAAAGAAGTCTGTTTGCCGTGCTCTGGTGAGGTGTGTGAGGGCTGTAGAGTTCCCCAAAGTCTGCTGTACTGGACTACTGCATCCTGCTGCTGCTGTTTGGCTTTAGATTTTTGTGCTCTCACAAGCAGAAGTGACCTGCTAGTGTCTGGTATCCTGGTTGTGGCTGGCAGCATTCCTGGGCCTTGTCTTACTCCAGCCGTGTTCAGAACAGTGGACAGTTCATGTGCTGTGTTTGACTGCTTTTCATTAACTTGCAAGTCTTTCTCTCATTTCCAGTTGCCATCTTCTAAATGGATTCCAGTGAATTTTCAGGATCTGTGGACCCCCTGTCCTTGCCTGACAAACCGCTTATTGGAGATCTCCCTGCTGACATGGAGTTTGGTGAAGATCTCCTGGGCTCCCAAACAGCTTCCACCCAGGAAGCTTCAGTTCTTCAGCCCCCTGGCTGGGATCAATCCAAGCAGATGACTGCAGATGGGGACTTGGACCTTCTAGTGAAAGCAGACAGCCTGTCCGAACTAAATAAATCAAATGACCATGTTCTAGATAAACCTAATGTCTTGGATATGCTGGAGAAACCTGTCTTAGATGACTTGGATAAAACTGCTGACTTGATGGAGCAGGATAAACCTGAGGGTCTGGATGAACTATGTAAGGCACATCCTTCCCAGGACGTGGAAGATGGACCATCAGACTCCTCTGCCCTTTCTAGAGAAGCCCTTGTTCCAGAAACATGGAAAGAAGGGGAGGATGCACCAAAAAATTGTTCTGGGGACCTAAAGGAAGATGGTGCTGCTGCTATTCCTGCACTGCCTGGTGACAAGGCCCCTGAATCACCTCGAAAACCCATTCCTGACTCTGGGAACCTCAGCAGTGCCCCAGCCACGGAAGAAACCACAGCACAGTCCTCAAGTCCAGCAATGCCCCCACCCCAGCTCAGTCTTAAACAGACAAAGAAGATGAAGTTGAAAGCACCAAGGAAAAGCTCACCCCTGCAGAGGGAAGGGCTGGCAGGGGAAGCAGAGGTGGAACCGGTCCCAGACAGCAGAACTGCAGCTTTGCCCCCTGAGCCTATGGAGGAAAACCGGGCAGAGGGAGGGGATGATAGTGGGAAAAACTCACTTAAAGAAAATAGTGTACTCAAAGCACAGGAAGCCTCAGCACCAGCAGGTAAGTTGTTGGCTCAGCAGAACTTGGCTTCCTTTTGCTCAGGAGCTCATCCAGCTGCAGGTTGCTGAGGCTGGAGTTTCTTCTGCACTCCAGCTTTTCCCATCATCCCCTGCTATGGAAACTGTGAATGGTACTGATGGTCTAGGTTTGGGCAAAGCTTCTTGCATACGGGGAATAGTGCTCTGGTGCACACAAGCTCTTGCTCAGGCTTTCATGGCTTTAGCTGATTATCAGTGCTTGTGTCAGCCCGGGAGCTTCCCTGATAAAACTGTGGCTGTGCATCAGCTTAGCTCACACTCTTCATGACTGGAGTCTTTGCTGGAACTGAGGGTCATCAGGAGGTGTTTCCAATAGGTAAAGTTCCTCTGCCCAGGCTGACCATTCCCAGGAGATGCTCAGTCTTGGTTCAGAAGCAGTTGGAGGTAACTGCCCACCCAGCCTACCTCCCCCATGCAGGGAGGTCTCCCCCTCAAGGGCTCCTCCCAAGCTGCGTGTTTGGATCTCCAACCACAGATGGTGGATTTAGGAGCTTTCCTGTGTCTGATCACCACCAGAATTGTACTTGATAGCCAGGGCTGACCCAAATGGTGACTGCGTTTGGAGAACACCTGTGGTCTTCTGTTGGAGAAAAGCAAGATGTTAGATGACAGCTTTTTCTGTGCTTCTGTTCCAGGAGAAAGCCTGTCTGGGAAGGGGAGCGAGCTGCCAGCTGAGAAGGTGAGGACAATGCAGTCAAATACGTGTGGTACAGGAGCACAGAGCGTGGCTGGCTGTTGTCAGACTCTGTGAGGGACACTGGCTGCCTCATCACCCCTCTGGGAAGGAGTTTGCATGACTCCTGTGATGGAGTGATCCCTGTGCACTGCCACTGTGCTGTAATGTGGCTTCAGCATGTCCCTGCTACCCACAGCTGAAATGTCATTCTCATAAGCCTACTTCCCCCTCTCCTCTGTCTTGCCAACTCTGGTCAGGTATCCATGGAGTTTTATCCGTTTTCAGCCTAGCTGTTGGGAAAGCAAATCCCAGAGGTTGGAACTCCGCCATGATCTGGGATATTTATCCATGGTTTTCCTAGCAGATAGTTAGCCTAAATATTTTCTGCATGTCTTCTAGGAGCAGAAAAGAAGTGAACGACCCAGAAGATCAGAAACTGCCAGGCCTGAAACTGTGAACTCCTCTGAGAGCAGTAAGTAACTAGGGTTGGTCAATGCCTGTTTTCAGCCTGAGAGAAGGGCCCAGATCCATTGGGGGCAGGTGGTTCATGGTGTGAGTACACTGGGAACTCTGGAGCTTCTGTGCAGACTTCCCTTCTACACTGGACAGGTCTTTTCACCCCACCAATCTTCATCCTCGGGTACTTGCCTTGCTTTCTTAGGGCACTTAGGTCAAAGCAGGCAGTGCTGTCTTATTTTTACAGTGGTTTGTGGACACCAAGCACTAAGTAATAGGATGAGACTCAGGGCTTGTTCCCAGGAAACGCATCTTCCATCTTCTCAGCCAGGAACTTTCTTCTTTTGTCTCTGGCAGCAGGCTGTCTGAAGGAAGGTTGCATCTTGGGGATTTTCCTGCAGAAGTGCATGAAGTCTCTGAGGTGTTGAGTGTCACCCTGCCATTCCCTAGCATCTGTGTGTTGCTCTTTTATTGCCTGCCTGTGCTGTTCCCTTTAAGGTCTGCTGGCTCTTGGAGGGTTTTCTGCTATAAAAGTTCACACTTTGGGCTTCTGCTCAACCTTGACATATCATGACTTCCTAAAGAGGAATTGTTCTTAAGCCCAGTTTGCTTAAAGACCTCTTGATTCATCTACAGTTCCAACAGAATTTCTTTGAAGGGTCCCTTTATCATTCCACCCAGACAGGTACAAAGTATGTAGAGGGGCTCCAGAAAGGTGACCCAGAAAGTCCCAGCGTGTGTCTCATGGCAGTTTCTCAGTCCCTAATGAGGGATTTCTGTGCCTCTTCCTCTGCTGCTTTGCAGTTCCAGTGTCTGACGAAGACTCTGATGCAATGGTGGATGATCCCAACGATGAGGATTTCGTTCCTTTCCGCACGCGGCGCTCGACCCGCATGTCCCTGCGCACCCAGATGGCCCAGCGAGCCGCCCGCTCCACCTTCACCAAGATGACCTGTGCCAACTGCAGGACCCCCCTGCAGAAGGGCCAAACCGCCTACCAGCGCAAAGGGCTTCCTCAGCTCTTCTGCTCCAGCTCCTGCCTCACCACCTTCTCAAAAAAACCACCTGGCAAGAAGATATGCACCTTCTGCAAAAAGTGTGTGTTCATTCCCCTTTCCTCAGTGCTCCCATGCTCGTGACCCCATTCACCTGCTCCACAGCTCTGCCTGCCAGTCCCCTTCCTATGGCCCTCATTCACCCACATCACTCCTGCCCACTGCCAGTTGCTGCCCCATGTCTTCCTTCACACACTGCATATCCCATGCTCCCTACATCCCCTTCACATTATTGCCATTCCCTGCCTGTCCCCAGACTCAATGCCCCATATTCCAGCCTCCTCTCAAAACAACCTCCTGCATGCTCCGTCTTCAGACACCACTCCTCTGGGCCAGGACAGAAGCTGCTGTGAGACAGTTCTTGCCAACTTTTTGGGACCAGAAAGTCCTGTGCGTTGCAGTGGGCCATCCTATCCCTTTGTGGCAGGACTCAAGTGTCCCTGCACTAACACATCCCCTCCTGATCCCCAGGGAGATCTGGAACACCAAGGACTCTGTGGTTGCCCAGATTGGTTCAGGTGGCTCTTTCCATGAGTTCTGCACCTCTGTCTGCCTTTCCCTCTACGAGGCCCAGCAGCACAGACCAGCACCTCAGTCTGCAGATGCCTCGGACACCAGCCGCTGCAGTGTTTGCCACAAACCTGGCGAGGTAAAGAAATCCCTTGTCCTTCCCATGCCCTGGATGAGGTGCTTGGGACCTGCAGCATTTGGCCCTGCCTGGGACCAGGGCATTTGCCAGGTTTTCCTGTGGTGTGAGGCTTCAGCCCCTGAGCTGTCTTGGGCTCACTCCCAGGTCTTTTTGTGTTACTGTAAACCAGCCCTTATTTTAGCAGAAGGAAGGAGGCTTCTGCTTCTCCCCACCCTGAAGCTCACTGCTTCCTACCACTCTGCTCTCCCAGTTGCTCCACTGACTTTTGGCAAGGGAGGCCACCCAGAGTCCACACCAGCTTCCAGTATGGCATTTGCCCAAGTCTCAGCCTGTTATCCCAAGGGCTGTGACAGCAGTGGTACAGCTGCATTGGAAGGAGGCCCCTGATGGTTTGGGGAGTGACAGCAATGATGTCTCTGCAGATCCAGCACGAGGTCAGCAACGGGAGCGTGGTTCACCGCATCTGCAGTGACGCCTGCTTCACCAAGTTCCGGGCCACCAAGGGGCTGAAGACAAACTGCTGTGACAACTGTGGACTTTATATCTACAACAAGGGCTTGCCCCTGGAGTACCTCTTCCACGAAGGCCAGCAAAAACGGTTTTGCAACTCTACGTGTCTCAACAGTTACAAGAAGGTGTGTGGATCAGCTGCCTGGAGTGGGGGGGTCTCTGTGGGCACGCACCTCCCTAGCTTGGTGTGGCACAGGGAACTTTATGCAATGACAGGTGATTCAAATTCCCTTGGTCTTTTATTGCTGACAAAGCATTTAAAAGATTTCTGTGGAGAAAATTTGAAGCAGGCAAACAGAATGAATTTATTCTGCATGAGGCCCATCTTGGACCCAGGGATGGGTCAGGCAGTCAATAAGCTGGACTGTACAGTGACACTGGTATATACAGTTAGCATGATTCTGTTGGATATGTTCTTCTGTGACCTGAGCAGGCTTCACTTAACTGTCTCAATGGGATTGCCAAGCTCTGTATTCCTGCCAGGCTACCCTTAAAATGAGAAACTGAAGTGCCAAAGGCAGCCTTTTTTGCTACCACCACCTGAACCTGCAGACTATGAGCCTGGTTCTGGCATCAGGTGGTCACTGCAGGAGAGCAGTCCTGTGGTGGATACAAAAGTGGGGTGGGATGTGAGGGTCAGACCTTGCTGGCTGTGATGGTCTCCCTGGCAGCTCTGTTTTGCTCTGTGCTTGCAGAAGAACACTCGGGTCTACCCCTGCATGTGGTGCAAGACGCTGTGCAAGAACTTTGACATGCTGCCCAACGTGGATCGCAGTGGCAAGATGGGCCTGTTCTGCTCCATTTGCTGCACTACCTCCCACAAAGTGAAGCAGTCAGGCTTAGTCGGTAAGAGCACCTACACAGAGGGAATCAGTCACCTCTCCACTCTAACTCCTTCCTTAGCTTTATTTATTGCTTGTGGAGGGGACTGAAAAGAAGATGTGTTGCTTGCCTGGGGAGGAATCCAGTGAGACCAGGGGAAGGAGATGTGGATACGGAGGAACCCTTGCAGAATGCAAACATCTTAATATGGAGAGTAGTGTACATTGCTGTTCTTGAGAATGCAGGGAGCAGCTGTAGTGCTGGGCTGTGCTGGCATTGCCCTTTCTGTTACATGGAGTACCAGGGTGTCCAGGAATGGGTGTGGTCTCTGGTGCAAGTATTGCAACGTATTTTGTCCAATGTCCTATAGAGCCAGGGTCACTCCCTTGAATCCCTGTGCTCTCCATCTCTGTTTAACATTTCTGTCCTAGCAGCATCCAGTGCTCTTGGTTTCTTGGTGTTCTTGTCCCTTGCCTTTTGATAATAGCTTGTCAGACTGAGGATGAGTGAGTAGCTTGTGTGCCATCCTCAGAATCCAGTCTCATGTGGTTTGCTGCTGCCCTCACCAATTCCTCTCTGTTTCATTAGGTCCCCCTAGACCCTGCAGCTTCTGCAGAAAGAGCTTATCTGAACCCTGCTATTACAACAAGACAGACCGGGTTGTCTACCAGTTCTGCAGTCCCAGCTGCTGGACCAAATTCCAGGTACTGAAATATCCTTCATGCTGGGCTGGGCCACGGAGCTCATGCCTCCTTTCACACTTAGCAGAGGCTCCACCTTACTTGAGCTCCTCAGGGAGGGTTCCTAAGAAAGTCTTTGTGGAACACAAGAGTTGCAGTGACTGTAATTGCTCATATCTCAGTCTTGGCCCTATCATCCCCTTCCTCCGCTGGGATAAGGCAGGCTGTAATTCACTCCTGTCCGTCAGGTTATGCCCGGTGGAAGGGCAGTGCAGAGCTGTGCTGCATGAGTGGTTTGGGATGCAGTGGCCTTACAAGAGCATGAGCAAAAGCACAAGTAAGTCAGCAAAGCACGGTACACACCTGCTAGCTGGGTGGAAAGGGGCAGAGCTCCCCTCTGAGTCAGATGTCACCAAGAAATATAAGCCTTCTAGAATGTATTGTCTAAAAACTTAGAGCCAACAGGCCTGGATACCTCATGTTTGATAATCCTCGAAGGCTTGACTAGCGGTTTTTAATCTTCTGACATTAAGTTTCAGCATGTGTGAAATGTCTGTGGTATTCATAGGCAACTTGAAGGTTATTAGTTTTGTACAGTTGTCAAAGAACAGAGTAACAGCCAGGAAGACCTGGGAAACTTAGGCCAGGACGTGTGAAGTGCAACTGAGAAAACGTAGAGAATCTAGAGGTAAGAGGTAGTTACTGGCAGTTGCACCATTTGGGTTTTGGATTTTTTTTTTTTAATTGGTTGTGGATTTTTTTTAATTGGTTGTGGGGCGGGTTTTTTTTATTGTTGTTGTTTTTGTTTTGGGGTTTTTTTGATTGGGGTTTTTTGGTGTTCTTTGATGTAATCCTTCACTGAGATCACAAATAGTCTGGGTAGCATAACTGTAGAGTTTTTACAGTTGTAGACTTCACAAGACTAGAATTATAGAACAGTTTCAGTTGAAAGAGACCTTTAAATGTCATCTAGTCCAGCCTCTGCAGTGAGCAGGTACATCTTCAACTAGGTCAGGTTCCTCAGAGCCCTGTCCAACCTGACCTTTGAATATTTATAAGGGTGGGGCATCTACCACCTCTCTGGGCAACCTGTGCCAGTGTTTCACCATCCTCATTGTGAAAAACTTCTTTTTAGCTAATCTAAATCTACTCTCTTTTAGTTTAAAACTATTACCCCTTGTGCTATCACAACAGGCTCTGCTAAAATGTGTGTCCTCTGATATCTTTCTTATAAGTATTGAAAGGCCACAATAAGGTCTCCCCAGAGTGTTCTCTTCTCCAGGCTGAATAACCTCAACTTCATCAGCCTTTCTTGATAGAAGAGCTGTTCCAGCCCTCTGGTCGTTTTCGTGGCCTCCTCTGGACTCACTCCAACAGGTCCATGTCCTTCCTGTGCTGGGGACCCCAGACCTGGAAGCAGCTCTGCAGGTGGGGTCTCACCAGAGTGGAGGGAGGCACAGAGTCACCTCCCTAGACCTGCTGGTCATGCTTCTTTTTGGGCAGCCCAGGGTACAGTTGGCTCTCTGGGCTGTGAGCTCATGTTGCCAGCTCATGTCCAGCCTCTCATCCACCAGCACCCCCAAATGCTTCTTGGCAGGGCTGCTCTTGATCTGTTCATCCCCCATCCTGTACTGATACTGGGGGTTGCCCCAACCCAGGTGCAGCACCTTGCACTTGGCCTGGTTGAACCTCATGAGGTTCCCATGGGCCACTGCTCAAGCTTGTCCAGGTCTCTCTGGATGTTACTCTGTCCCTCAGGCTTGTCAACTGCATGACTCAGCTTGGTGTCATCTGCAAACTTCCTGAAGGTTCTCTCAATCCACTATGTCATTGATGAAGATATTAAACAGGACTGGTCCCGGTATGGATCCCTGAGGGACACCACTTGTCACTGATCTCCATCTGGACACTGAACCATTGACCACTGCCTTCTGTGCAACCATCCAGCCAATTCCTCATCCAGTCCACCCAGCAAATCCGTCTCTCTCCAATTTAGAGAGAAGGATGTTGTGGGGGAGTGTGTCAAAGGCCTTACAGAGGTCCAGAGATGGTGGCATCCATAACTCTCTGCTTCTCCACTGATGTAGTCACTCCACTGAGGAACTAGGTTAGTCTGGCAGGACTTGCCCTTGGTGAAGCCGTGCTGGCTGTCTTGAATCACCTTCCTGTTCTCCATGTGCCTTTGCACAGCTTCCAGAAGGATCTGTTCCATGATCCTCCCAGGCACAGTGGTGAGGCTGACAGGTTGGTGGTTCCCAGGGTGCTCCTTTCTGCCCAGTTTAGAAATGGTTGCAATGTTTCCCTTTTTCCAGTTACCTGAGACTTCACCCAGTCATGTAACTTGAATTATTGCCATGTAAAACCAGCATTGTACCATATGAGTAAACCAAGGCATAACCTGGATTAGGAACTGTCTTGCTGGCAGATCTCAGAACACACTTGTCAAACTAAAACAGCTGAAGAGAATGTTTCAAGATGGTTTCTTGGGGATCAGTATTAAGCTTGGCTTAATGCCGATCAATGGAGTTCAACGTTTTCATCAGTCATTTGGCAATAAAGTCAAAGTAAGCATAATAAAATGTTGCAGATGAAACGAAAACTGGTGACCTGAGCCCATGCTGAAGCCAGGGCAGTCACAGAAAGCAAAGAAATTGGATTGATTGGCAAGGCTGGTTCCTCCTAATCTGTGCTTAAATACAGTTCAGTGTAAGATCCTGTGTCAGCCTTACTCAAGTAGTGTGGGGATGCAAGTCCTGGGAAAGTAAGGATTTTGAAAAGACCTTGGGATTACAGCAGATAAGCTGTTCAGTATGAGTGTCTCAGTTTACAGCCACAGAGGGAAGGATTAATTAAGTTCTTGCAAGCAGAAGCAGAAGAACATGGAGTTAAAGTTTGAGGGCTAGGGAGCAAGAGCTACCTAGAATGTTGGACAGTTAGGAAATATTTTCCAATGTCCGCTTTATTTTCAATATTGCAGAAAACTTGGAAGTATCCTGAAAAAAAAACCACATAAAAATTACATTTGGGCTTGAAAAATGCTTGTACTGAGGCACTTGCAGAATGCCTTAGCTGAGGTTATCAGAAAGAAAACCAGGAAGATGACTTTATTAATAAATAGATCCTTATGGACGAGACACTAAATGCTAAATGGCTATTTAATCTAGCAGAAGGTGGAATGAGAAGGCTGCTTGAATTCTGAAACTCCATTACCTTGAAAATAGAAACCAAGCAGCTGCGCTTCAGGAACTTTTAGAGAAGAAGTTGCAGAGCCCCCATCCCTTGATGTTTTCAAATCCAGTGGGGTGGCAGCTTGAAAGCTTCTCTTCCTGAGAAGAGCTGGACCCAGCACATTGAAAGCAAAGTGAAATTGCTGTCAAGAATCTACTCTCCAGGAGCTTGAGATATGATCTGGTGGACTGACTGAGTCACCAACGGTGGCATCAGGTCTGAGTGGGGCTGGGTGGGCTGCTTGTGACTGTGGAGGAGACAGGCAGTGGTGGCAGTGAGAATCAGATGTCCACTGCCCTCCATGTGCCTCTCCCTCCATGAGCTGTCTCTTCTCCTGCAGCGCACCAGCCCGGAAGGTGGGATCCACCTCAACTGCCATTACTGCCACAATCTTTTCAGCGGGAAGCCAGAGATCCTAGACTGGCAGGTGAGGACTTTCCCCGGGGGGAATATTGAGTTGGAGGCCAACACTGGTGAGAGCTGCAGGGCTCCTTCATCTCTCTGCTCAAAGCAGAGCTCCTCCTGTGCCAGTTCTCTGAAAGCCTTGGCTGCAGAGACGTGCCTGGAGACTGTGCCGAGTGCTGCGCTCCTGGAGTTCAGCGGGATGTCGGAAGGGCAGGAGGAGACCACTTCTGCCAAACCCTGTGCCAGGAGAACTGGGGAGTTGACTCAGCCCTGTAGTCTTCTCCTGCTTCCTTGAGAAGTGTGGGAACCTCCTTCCAGCCTGGCTGACCTGGCAGTGGTCTCTTTGGCAGGACAAGGTGTATCAGTTCTGCTGCAAGGACTGCTGCGAGGACTTCAAGCGGCTGCGTGGGGTGGTGTCCCAGTGTGAGCACTGCAAGCAGGAGAAGCTGCTGCATGAGAAGATCCGTTTCTCTGGAGTGGAGAAGAACTTCTGCAGCGAAGGTACTTGGGGAAGGCATGGGAAAGGCAGAACCCCCATGCCAGCCCATGCTGGGGGAGGAGAAGAGAGCATGGAGAGGAACAGAGGGGAGATTGTCTTAGCCAGGCCCTGGGGCAAGAGCCTTGCCGTGCAGTGAAGGGAGGACTGTTGTGGGGATGGCTTGCTGTCCAGCCAGGCCCTAGGGCTAGATCTTTACCGTTCATTGTGTCCTTGGGGAGGGCCTTCTCACAGCTTTTCTCTCTCTGGGGGCTGGGGAGACAGCAGGTGGCAGCTCCGCTCCTCCTGTCATCATGCACTTCTACGCTCTTGCGTCTGGGCTGGCCTGACCTGGCCTTGCCCTGCCTGCTGGGTTCCTGCACACAGGAGGTTGGAGTCAGACTCTTCCTAGAAGCATGGAGGTGAGAGATGGCAAGTCCCCATGAGGTCCCATCTTATCCCAGCCCCAGGGGCCAGTGCTGGATTGTTCCCTACAGTGTGTTGCGTGTGCTCTGTTGTCTCCGCAGACCTGGATTTTGGTCATGTTTGGGTCAGGGAGGCCCCCAGTTCATCCTGGGAAGGTTTCACTCCTATTGTTTCTCCGCAGGGTGTGTGCTTCTTTACAAACAGGATTTCACCAAGAACCTGGGCCTGTGCTGCATCACCTGCACCTACTGTTCTCAGACCTGCCAGCGGGCGGTCACCGAGCAGCTGGAGGGCAGCACCTGGGACTTCTGTAGTGAAGACTGCAAAAGCAAATACTTGCTCTGGTACTTCAAGGTCAGTATTGGCACTGGCAGCTTGTGCTAAGTGCTGTGGTGGGCACGGCACCCAGATAAGTGGGCATTGCACTGAGGAAGTTCGCACTGCTGGAGTCTGGCTGGCACTGCTGCGGAGAACCTGGCACTGCTGGAGTCCTGCCTGGCAATGACGGGACACTGCTACGGGGAAGCTCACGTAGCTGGAGTCCCCAGCTGATCCTGCCAGACAGAGCACTGCACTGAGGAAGCTCACAGTGCTGGATCTGCGGCTAGTGCTGCTGTGAGAAGTTCGCACCGCTGGAGTCCCTGGCTGGCACTGGCAGGGCACTGCTGTGGGGAAGCTCACAGCACCTTGCTATGTGCACCTTTCACTGGAGAGTTGTGTTGCACTCGGAGGGGGTGTGGTTAGTTACTCGTTGTTTCTCTCCTGCTGATGCGGGCTTTAGGCAGCTCGGTGCCATGCCTGCAAGCGTCAGGGGAAGCTGCTGGAAACCATCCACTGGCGGGGGCAAATCAAACACTTCTGCAACCAGCAGTGTCTGCTGCGATTTTACAATCAACAGAACCAGCCCAACCTGGACACGCAGAAGGGGCCCGAGAGCCTGCTGAACAGTGAGTAGGAGGGAGGGAGGGGACCTGCATAGCTCAGTCTGAGAGACACAGGGAAGACTGAACAGCAGGGGTGGAAGCTTCCTGCTTGGGACTGGAGGAGACGCTAGGGAACAATCCTGCACTGGCCCTTGGGGGGGAAAGGACGGAGTGGGACCTAATGGGCTTCTCCATCTCTAACATCTATGGTTCTATGACACACAGGGCCCAGACGGGAGGAGCCGGTGCCAGCGTGCTGCCTGTAGCTCACACTTAGCGAGGATACTCAGGGATTTAACATCCTCAAGTTGCCAGCGGAGAGCTCGATTTACAGGGTTAGGGGACAGCGTGGTTTGGCATGACAATCCACCTGCAGCCCCACACCACCTCCGAGCTGTGACCTTCTCAGATCTCATAAGCTAATCTGGATTGGGCCAGGTCAGTGCTTGGATGGGAAGCATTCAAGGACAAAGAAGGGTGCTGCAGGAAGTGGTGCTGGTGACGCTGTAGGTGGGCTCTCCTCAGCCAGAGCTGAACCTAGAACGGTCTTGAGGGAGCACTGAGCTGCTGGAGGCACTCTTGTCTTGTGATGTTAGATTGGAGTCCTACCATTTACCCAAAGTTCACTGCAGCTTTGGGGAGTTGCCAACCCTGTCCCCCAGATAACCCCATTCTGCATCCATGGAGTTCCAGCTGGAGAGGAGATTTTCGCTGCCTGTTGCCCCATTTCCTATCGTTAACTTGAGCCAGTTGCTTATGCAAGATTGCAAAGTGCTTTGGGATCCCTCGGGATGGAAGGTGCTCATAGTGAGTGACAAGACATCGCTTGGCCCTTGGACTTTTGCGTAATCTCATTCTGCTTGGTCTGGCATAGGCCACGATGTCCTTGGTAATCTGTGGGATCTAGTTAAGATGCCTGCAGTTTATGGTGGGACTTCCTTCAGTGTATCAAGCTCCAACACATAGCTGCGCTGCAGGTTCAGGGCTTTGCTGCCTTCCCTGGGATTTCATGAAGTGTAAAACCCTGGCTAGGGTGTGCCAAGGAGGGGAAACCAAGACAAGGACCTTCACGTGAGAGACCTCATCATCCATCTCCAGACTCTTCTAGTTCCTTTCCTGTGGGCTGATGAGGGAAGCTCCTGCTTAGGATGTCGCTGCTGCTTAGATAGCAAAGCAGAGCTGCTTCTCCAGAAGCAGCAGGTTCCCCCAGCTAGGGGAGTCCCAACCTGCCTTCCAAGAGCCACATTCCATAAAAAGCTGTGTGAGGTGACAGCTCAAGTGGCAGGACACTGGAGTGACCTGGATAAGGAACTGTTGGTTTCTGCTGGCACAAGGGTGCCCATGGGAAGTCTGCTTGATGGTTTACAGTGTTCTGCTGCCCAGGAGAAGAAGAGATGTTAAACTTGCTGGTTCCTGTAGCTCACCAAGTGATTCCACAGCCCTAGCCATCCTGTTGCATTTGTCCTCTGCTTTCAAGGCATGTTACTTGTGAGGGACCAATAACACTGCTTTTGCAACACAGGCACAGTGGCAAACTCTGCCTGCAGAGGGAACCATGTTTCACATTGTTTAGCCATTGGACCTTGCTACTTGGAGCCATGGATCACAAGACTCAAAAGTACCTTCTCCACCACCACCAACCACGAGAGTCTCAGGCCTCCTGTGCCACATCTCTGGAGAGCTCCAAGAATTTTGCTTCTTCTATGTGGGGCATCACCCTTCACTGTGCCACAGATGCCTCTCTGTGCCCCCTGTGAGGACTCTGAGGGAGCCAAGGAAAAGCCCTTCATCAGTAGTGAGTGCTCAGCTGAGCACAAGCTCCAGACTGCCCCAGCAGCTGCTGTGCTCGGTGAATGCTGCTGGTGGCACTGGGCTCTCTGTGTGTTCTGGCACACCCAGATGTGGGATAGCCATGGACACCCTTGCCCCAGGACTGTGGCATACTGCTGAGTTTGCAAAGGAAGGGTGCTGGAGCCAAGGACCTGCTTACACAGAGAGCTTTCCAGCCCACTGTGCTGTGCAGGGAATTTGAGGAGGAGCAGCTTGTCAGCTCATGATGAGGAGCAGCTTTGCCTGGTGCAGTCAGGGTGTCCTGTGGACCTGGCAGCTGCATTGCCAGCTCACAAGGGACTGCCTGGATTTCAGGCCCATCGTGGGCAGAGCTGTTGACTACTTGGTTATTCTGTTGCAGCCAGTGGTTGCCTAGAACCCTTAATTCCCGTGACCCAGTGGCTGCTACCAGCTTAGTGATCTTGAGACTGCTTGTTGCTGATCATATAAACAGCTATTCTTTTGCTGGGAACAGTCCATGTAATGCAAGATTGAGGAGCTTCTGCTACAAAACTGTGCCCAAACACTTCCAAGGGGAACTGGCTCTGCACGGGGCTGACCAACCGGAGAGGGTAGAGGGTCAGAAGTCACTGTTGGGGCAGGCATGCCTTGATAGCTCTTTGTTGGTGTTGGGATGAGAGTAAAGAATAAGCCACAGTTTTCCTGGAAGCCTGGACACACGGAGCTTTGTGGCAGGAGAATCTTGTTTTCTTAGTCCTAAATCATTGGCCTGTGGGGCAATCATGTTTGCTTTTGATTTTGCTGCAGCAGAAATTCCGCTCATGCGCCATAGCTTGTCTTTTCTCAGTCAAGCCACTGATGTTTCCTACCTGGTCCTGCTGCCCATCCACTTTGGGCTGTCAGGGTGAGTTCTTGGACCCTGATACTGCTGCAGAACCTATGGCTGAATGCTCAGCTGCAGACTAGGGAGCTTCCTCCAGCTGGAACTTGCCTGTTTTCCGCTGTGGTGGCCAGCAAGTGGAGCCTACCAGGCCTCCAGTTGCACAAGAGCTGTCCTGCATTTCCTTAGGACAGAGGAAATCTGCACAGTGCATGGTCTGTGTGTTGGACCTCTAGAAATCTGGGTCTTTCCTGAAGAGCCAGTCTGTGTGTAGAAGGTGCAAATGGACCCGCCACTGCCTTTGGGTGCTGAGACCTGCTGCTTTCCTCGCAGGTATCTCCTCCATGCATGGCCCACAGTTAGTCAGTGCTGTAGAAGGCAGATGTTTTTGGCAGCCACATGGGTAACCAGGGCTCACTGGAGGCTGGGATGAAGGTGCTCTGTTAGCTCATAGGCCTTTGAGATGGGTGCAGGTTCTCTGCAGAGCAAATGAGCTGGAATTATCATCCAAGGCAGGGTGATACTGTCACCACCTGAGACTGCCTGCCACATGCACCTCTTATCTGTAGGTGATCCCTTCTTTCCTTAGGGGAATATACTGCATCCCTAGGGCTAGGGCAAAGCTGTCTCTCTGCTTTCTGAAATATCTCTTAATGCTACTGATAGCTCTGTCACCTTCTTCCTAGGGATCTCGAAGCACTTTGCCAAGATATTTGTAGCAGGGATATGGAGGCACAGGGAGGGGCCATGGCTCGGTACAGCAAGCCAATAGGCAGAGCTGGGAATAGAGCCCTGGATTCCTCTCTCAACAAGGGGCTGGGATTTCTCCTGACCTGCTGTGATGGGGATGGGGTGGACTGCAGGTGAGCACAAAATGACATGGGAGTAACTTGATTTTGGAGTTGTAGTGTCTTCTGAGCTGCTAGGGCTAGAGATTGTGGAAACATTAACTATTCCTGGAGTGGCCAGGAGGAGTTTCTGGGGAGCCTGTCCCTGCTCTCTGGCTGCTGGTACCTCCAGTCCCAGCAGTGGGACACATTGGCCCAGGAGCTCTTGAACTCAAGAGTTGTTGCTTTCTCTTACAGGTCAGACTTCAGATCCAAAACCAGCTGTCCCTTCCCCACAGAAGACAGAGACTAACATGGTAAGACCCATTGGAGGTAGGAGTTTGCAAGATAGCACAAAGAGAGAACAGTTCTGCCATTGCTCGGGGAGATTTCGTTCTTCTACAATCAATGAATTTTAAGATGTCTGGATAGTGGGAGCTAATAAGAGCTCCTAGGGAGGGCAGTATCAGCATAAGTCCTGCAAGGGGGAAGAATAACCATTCCCTAGGAGTTGATGATGAACTCCAGAATAACCTGACACAGTGGCACTGGCTTCTTTTGCATGGTGCTTTTCTGTGCCTGGGTTTAGTCACTGTCCCACTGTTCCCTCTGCTCCGTGGGACAGGAGCCACCAGTGCCAGACTCCTGGCACAGCAGGGACACCACACAGATTTGCTGCCTGCCAGGAGCAGCTTGGCAGTCCTTCGTCCAGGCCTGACCGTGGGAGCGTCCACGTGTGTGTTGGCGACTCCCAGGCCCCAGGAGGTGCTTTGGGAGTCACTCCAGCTGTAGCTGTAGTAGGAAAGAGGTTGTGCTGCCTTAGGTGAACATCAACCTCCTGCTTTCTGCATTTTCTCAGCTGTCAGCAAAGGCCTCCTCAGCCCAGACATCTTCAGCTGCGCCGCCTCCCGCCCCACCAGTGGTTCCAGCCACCCCTCGGAAAAACAAAGCTGCCATGTGTAAACCACTGATGCAGAACCGGGGCGTTTCCTGCAAGTTAGAAATGAAGTCCAAAGGATGTCAGACAGGTAGGAAAACAAGACATAACTGGAGGATTACAGGGGCATTTTGGAAAGGCAAGGGGCACATCCCTGCTCCAGACTCTGCATCCAGCTTGAAACGCTGCACAAAGTGTGTTTGGCACCATACTGAGGAGTCTGTGGGCAGGTGCAGGGCACATGTGGCAGGGGTGGAGGCAGGGAGCCCATTCCCATCATCAGCAAAAGGAGAGATGCAAAGAGCACTGTAGCATGATCCCACTTCTTGTGGGACAACTCCTGTTGCTCTGGAGATTGTTAGCTTGTCCGAGGGCCATCTGCTGAGCATGTTCCACTCTGTAGCTCATGTTGGCCATGTGTGTGTGGTCTCCAGCATGTGCAAGGCAACTGGACCTCTTGGCAGGGTTACATAAGAGCAGGACTTGCACTTCTGGCTAAGGCAAGCCTCTCTTGTTGCCAGGCTTGACTTGCTGCTGCTCCAGCTCTGTCCGTAAATCATAGAAGCTGGTGGCTGGAAGGGCTGCGGTGCTGGATGGCTGGGGGCACGTCAGTGTGTGGCAGGGCTGGGTGAAGGAGCTTCTGGGTTCAAGCTCACTGATGTACTTTTGCTCTTGTCAGAGGCTGACTGGAAGCCCCAGGTGGTTGTATTGCCAATCCCCGTCCCGATCTTCGTGCCTGTGCCTATGCATATGTACTGCCAGAAAGTACCTGTGCCTTTCTCCATGCCTGTCCCGGTAAGCAATGCACTTCATCTGCTCCTGTTTTCCTACTGTCTTGATCCTGCCTTGCTGCAGCCTCTCTTCTTCTCTGTTTATCCTCTTCTCCTGCCTCTGCTTTTGTGTCAATCTGCTGAGTGTCAGTTTTCTGCTTGGTGTGCTGCTGTCTACAGGTGCCTGTGCCAATGTTCCTGCCCACCACCCTGGAAAGCACAGAGAAGATTGTGGAGACCATTGAGGAACTGAAAGTGAAGATCCCCTCCAATCCCCTGGAAGCTGACATCCTGGCCATGGCTGAGATGATTGCAGAGGCTGAGGAACTAGACAAGGCCTCCTCGGACCTGTGTGGTAGGTTCTGCCATGGCTTGGTCTGGCCCAACAGCTGGGATCAAGGGAGGTTTGCTGGCTCTTGGAGCTAAAACACCTGCCTGGATTGCAGCTCTCCAAAGCCTCTCAAAAAAGGAAGCAGGGAATAACAATTCCTCAGTTTCTGCTGAGGAGCTACCAAAAGGGAAGAGCTGCAGCAGGGAGCACTGTCTGCCACTTTTGGGGGTGCCAGTCTTGCGGCACTGTTAGTTTTTTCAGGGGGCTGTTCAGGCTCTTTCCTAAAGCAGCTTACTAGCTAGAAAACTAGCAGTCCTGACCCTCACCCCCAGTGATGAGGGTTGTGGCTGGGGAGGTGACAAACATCCAGTGTCTTGCTGTCCAGAGAAAGCTGGGCAGTGCAGGTGTCGTGGGGCTGCTCTGAGCACAGGACTGTGCTGCATGCAGGGAGCCCAACTTCATTTCCCAGCTGTCACAGGGAAAACAGTTGGGTTTATGAACTGCTTTTGCCTTGCAGACCTGGTGAGTAACCAGAGTGCAGAGGGTCTCCTGGAGGACTGTGATCTGTTCGGACCAGCACGGGACGATGTGTTGGCTATGGCTGTCAAGATGGCAAATGTCCTCGATGAGCCGGGCCAGGATCTGGAGGCTGACTTCCCTAAGAGTAAGAGCTGGGGGAAGCAGGTGTGCAGGGCTGCTCGTGCTGCAGCAGGGTCCTCCCAGTGCCCTCAGCCAACTGTTGCCAGCAGCTCTAAGAGCTGTGTGAATTTACCTCCCCATGCCCTCTGACTGACCAGGCCTAGGGCTGAGCCTTGCAGATGACTGCTTGCAGCAAGGGTGAGGGGACCACCACTTCTGAAGGAGTGTGTGTTTGTCTAGACTAACTTACCTGGAGAGAACATAGGTCTGCAGACGAGGGGGAATGAGAAGCTGGTTTTAACAGCACAGAGAGCAGGGCAGCAGCACTGGTGTGCTTATGGATGATGATTCCAGAGGAGCCAGCAAGGCAAGAGACCTGGACAAAGCATGACATCCTGGAAGTGGCAGAATTGCTGAATGTCCATTATCAGGCAGAAGGTGGAAGAGGAGGCAGGGACTTGCAGGAGCACAGCAGTGCTGGGCAGGGTGGTAGCAGCAAAGGATAGAATTGAGGTGCCTATGCCAGGCTGTCCACAGTACTGGCCTGGTGCAAGGGCATTAGGAATGTTCCTCAGCTTTGAAAAACAAGGAAACAAAAAACTGTAAGAGGGGGAAAATGTGGGGCTCTGGTTATTCTGAGAGAGCTTAGCATCATCTGCCAGAAACATATTTCCTTTGTTGTGCTGTGGCTAAAGTTCATGCCAGACAGTGGTGGGGGGTGTGAAGCGTGCTTGCTTCATCTTGCTGTATGTAAAACACTTGCCAGCACAGGGGACAGGATGAGAAGTCTCAGTTGAGCCCTTCTACCTGTGTTTCCTTTCAGACCCTCTAGACATCAACCCCAGTGTGGACTTCCTCTTTGACTGTGGGCTGGTGGGACCAGATGATGTGTCCACAGAGCAAGATCTGCCTCGAGCTGTCCGAAAGGTGAGCTCTCTGTGGGTGCTGCCTGCTTAAAGCTCTTTGGGCTTGGAGCTGCCATCTGGGATGTAGGAGGTGAAATGTGCCAGAGGCTTTGGTGTGCTGGGGAGGTTGTGCCCTCTCCCCTCTGAACATGCTTGGCCTGTGGGCCACTCCTTGAATGAAAATACTTTGGAGGAGCTTTGAATGCTACAGGTCATGTGAGAGCTGGTCTCGTTCCCGTGGCTGTCATAACTGATGGGCCTTGTTGGCTTGGCTGTCAGCAGAAGGGTGCCTGCTGGCATGGGCACAGGCACACTGAGAGTCACACACTGCAGTCACAGGTCTGAGGGATGGCCACAACTCTTGCACCTGTCCCAGGTAGGTGCCCAGTCTCACAGTACACCTCTCTGCAGGGGCAGAAGCGCCTGGTGCTCTCTGAAAGCTGTTCCCGGGACTCAATGAGCAGCCAGCCCAGCTGTACAGTCCTGAACTACTCGTATGGAGTGAATGCCTGGAAGTCCTGGGTGCAAGCCAAGTACGCAGGAGGAGAGACCAGCAAGGGAGAGGAGCTACGCTTTGGCCGTAAGTGCCTTGTGTGGATGCAGTGGAGTGGCAGAGACCTCCCAGAAGCTGGATCTCAGGGTGCTGAGGTGCTCCTGACCTTGCAGGCTGTTGTCTGAGGCTGCTGTGCTTGTCTCCGCAGCCAAGCCCATGAGGATCAAGGAGGACATCTTAGCCTGCTCAGCAGCTGAGCTCAACTATGGCCTGGCCCAGTTTGTCAAGGAGATAACACGGCCCAACGGGGAGCGCTATGAACCCGACAGCATCTATTACCTCTGCCTTGGCATCCAACAGGTGAGGGAGGCCTTGCTGCCCTCCAGTCCTCCACAGCCAGACTTGGGGTCAGAACTGGTAGGGGGAGCTTTTACCCTTCATTCTGCTTCCTGGGGACCCAGAGAGGCTCACTGGACTCACCTTCATTGCCTCACCCCAGGACAGCAGCCCACCTGGTTTGGCCTTTGTTTCCAAGCCCAGAGTGTAGAGTGTCAGCTGTTTCCCAGCCTCACACCCTTCCTGCACATCCTTGAGGAGGGCTGGGAGATCTCCCCAAACTCATTCCCTTTTTCATTGCTAAGTCTCCTTTGTCATGCCCCAAGGTTTTCCTTGCAGCTCTCAGAAGTATCTGCCCTGCAGCTCTGGTGGCACAAGGAAAGTTGCTCTGCATGTGTTCCCTGGGTTCTCTGGGGAGGGTTTGCATTCCAGGTGCTGCTGTGTTTCTCTTGACTGTGTGTTCTGTCCTTTCTAGTACCTGCTCGAGAACAATCGTATGGTGAATATATTTACAGACCTTTACTACCTGACCTTCGTGCAGGAGCTGAACAAGTCCCTGAGTGGCTGGCAACCCACAGTCTTACCAAATAGTACGTGTCTTCTGAGTACCCTCAGTCACCACACATACCCAGTTTGTGCTCCTAGCCTGGGATCCTCTGGTCTGATGGTGTTCCCCCAGCCTCAGCCCTCTTTCTTGGCATAGGCAGCACAGTCCTGCTGTGTCTTGGGGTCAGGCTGACCCAAACTGACAGCAGGGCCAGTGTGGTTTACGCCTCAGCAGCTTCTGTACCCCACAGTCAGCATAACTGGGAGCAGAGCACACATGCTTTCTTTCCTGGGACAGTTTGAATCTTTGCAACAGTTCACAGTGATGTCTCCACCCTTTGGCAAAGAGGATGCCAACCCAGGGGACACACTGGCACATGTCTTTGTGTTCCCAGCACATGGGTGAACCCTGCACACTGTGCTAAGCCTTGGCCAAGGTCGCTGTGCTGCTGCCTTGTGAATGGACTTAACTTAGAGCTCTGCAGAGGCTTTTCATGATGCTGTGTTCTGAGGTGCCTTCCCTGCTGTGTCTTGTCAGTCAAAGATCCAGCCTCACCTCTGCATATTGGCTGTCCTAGGCAGAAGCATTTGGCTCCAGACCTGTGTATTTAGGCAGGAGCTGGCTGTGTCTCTCCTGCCTGCTGCTTTTCCTTCATCTCTCACTGAGTGTGGTGGAGCACTGACCTGGAGATCACTCTGGCCATCTATAGTGATGAGCAATTAGAATTAATTTGGGTTCTTGTCTGTGGTTTGGCTGTGATCTGGGGTGGCTTGTGGCAGAGCAAGCATCTAGTTCTGCTGATGGCTCTGGAGAGGTAACCTTATGGAAAAAAAGATGTTGTGAAGTGTCAGTCTTTCACAGATTTCTGGGCAGGACGAAGGAATTGCCGTAAGGCTGCTGTTGATGTGACCCGGTTCTTCCTCTGTGTGTTGCAGACACTGTTTTCTCCCGTGTCGAGGAGGAGCACCTCTGGGAGTGCAAACAGCTGGGTGTTTACTCACCCTTTGTGCTGCTGAACACCCTCATGTTCTTCAATACTAAGTTCTTCGGGCTGCAGACAGCGGAGGAGCACATGCAGCTCTCCTTCACCAACGTCGTGCGCCAGTCCCGCAAGTGCACCACTGCCCGTGGCGTGACAAAGGTGGTGAGCATCCGCTACTATGCTCCTGCCAAGCAGAAGAAAAGCCGAGGTAGGGCCTGAGGGAACATCTCTGTCCCTCCCCCTGCTTCTGTTGGGATACAGCCATGATCCAGCTCTCTTCCCCCTCTGCAGATGGTGGCTCTGGAAAACGGAAGCGTGAGGAGGAGGTACCGATGTTGGAGCAGCGGGAGAACAGGATGAACCCCCTCCGATGCCCAGTCAAGTTCTATGAGTTCTATCTCTCCAAATGGTGAGGCTTTCTCTGGAGAAGGGACATGTGCCGTTTTGGGGCCACCACTCAGTTTTAGTGGGACCATGTGGAGAGACTGCTGCTCTCCATATGTTTGTACATGAGCTTGAAGCCTTGCACAAGGTCTGTGCTGCATGTGTAGATCACGGTTGAGAAAATGCTTCTCTCTGGCCTCTTCCACTTCTTGCCTTTCTCCAGACTGGCAGGAGCGTGCCATATGAGTCCAGGTGCCTGGGTAGTTAGGGGTTTTGGTCCTGAGCAAGGAGCTGCAGGCTCAGTTTGTGTCCTCATCCTGCTGAGTGATGAGAGGCTGTGGCAAGCCTTGAGCCCCCCTTGCTAACCATGGCAGCAGGCCAGGCTGGCTGAGCCCCTGAAGCTGAGACCCCCCAGGTCTGACCTTGCTCTCCCTTTGCAGCCCCGAGAGTCTGCGGAACCGCAACGATGTGTTCTACCTGCAGCCCGAGCGGTCCTGCATCGCCGAGTCCCCGCTGTGGTACTCGGTGATCCCCATGGACCGCAGCATGATGGAGAGCATGCTGAACCGCATCCTGGCCGTCAGGGAGATCTACGAGGAGCACAGTCGGCTCAGCAGCCTGGAGGATGACATGGACTAAGAGCGAGGTGCTGCTGGGCTGGCTGCGCTCCAGCCCTGGACACCCCATCTTCCTGCCTCCCGCTGCAGGGCAGGGGCCGTGCAGCACGGGAGGGGATGGTGCTGCAGCAGTGCTGTCCCTTCATCATTACCAGACTTGGACATCCCATCCTGCTTGTTACAGGCCTCCCTTACATACGTGGCCCTCATGCTCAGCTCTACCTCCTCCTTTTGGCTGCTGGGTGAACCATCTTTCCCAGGGCCAGTTCCCATGGCACAGGGGTGGCAGAGTCCCTGGGGCACCTGCCCTCACCTTTGTCCGCCCTACCCCCAACCCTGCCACTCCCCCCCTCTTCCCCTGCCCCAGGGCAGGAATCTCACAAGGCAGCAGTGCACCATCAGACCAGTGGCCCCAAAGCTTTTATTTCCCTCTTCATCATTCCCTCATGAGGCTGCAGGTGGTATGGCAGGAACAGTAGTAGCTCTGCTGCTGGGGCAGGATTGTGGTTTCAAGCCAGCGGGGATGGGTCAGTGGGAGGGCTTTTCCCAGGTATGGGAGAGGTTTAGGTTGGCTTCAGAGAGGGGAGGGAGCTGGCACTGGAACATGAGAGCAAAGATCTGGCCTTACCATGGGGACACCTCCCTCGTGCAGCTGAGATGTCTCTCTCAATTTGGTCAGTGTTTCCTGAGTTGTCTGAAAACTGATGGAGATGGGTCTGGGTCAGTGCTGCCGCTCTTTCCCCACTGTCCCCTGTCCTGGTGTGGGTCCCCTCCTCCATGCAAGGTGCCATCAGTGGGAACCTCTGCTCCAGCCAGGGGCTTGGGCAGCTGCTGGCAGAAACAGGGAGCTCTGCCTGGTCTCCCCCTCCCTTCCAAAGCAGCAGGCTGCCACCGCCCTGCCCAGAGCAAATCTGGCTCCAGCTGTGCCACTCCCTGCTGCCTCCTGCCCCTCCTCGTGTTCTGGTCAGTTTTATTGAGCTGTACATGGGTCTCCTGTTGAGCCTGTATATATTGTTCTGGGCCCTGGCCTGGGGCCATCTGTTCTCTGTGTCCATGTGGAGAGTGAGCCGCTCACCAGTCTTGTTGTAGTGATGCCAGGGCAGTAGGAACTAACCCTGTGTCTCTGGAAACCATTCATTTCAAATAAAGATGTGGAAAACTTTTGGCAGCCCCTAGTTTCCCACCCTGAGCAGGGTGAGCATTGCAGGAGAGCATGGCCAGTGTCCCTCTGCTGCTGTACACCACACTCCTGTCCGTCCCTGCCTGTGCTGCCTGCACTTCCTGCCTTGCCAGCTTGGGCATGCTGGGATGGCCCCTGACCCAGTGCCCTCTGGCGCCAGCCTGGCATGCCCTGCTTGTCCCTGCCCTGCTTCACCTGACCTGTCACCTGCCCACAGGGCTGCAGCCCAACCCAACCCAACCTAACAGTGGCTGTGCCCTGGCTGTAGGATGGACCAGTCAGAGAGCAATGCCATGTGGGCAGAGCAGGAGTCAAGGGAGGTGCAGTGAGTGTTTATTTGCTCCCTCATCCCAGCTTTATTCTCAGCCCTGCTGCTCCCAGGAGTGCTGGGAGCAGCTGAGCCGTGTGCCCAGGGCCATGCCCAACTCTCGTGCTGGCCATGGGATCCATGCCACAGGCCTGGCAGGGCCTGGAGACCGAACCACCACTGTGGCCACCAGTGCATCCCCCATCCCTGACCGTCCCAGCAGGCCATGTTCACACTGCCAGGTCTGCCGCTCGCATCTCCCCGTGGGACCCACCAGCCACCCCTAGCCACGCTCCCGCCTTCTTCAGGGGTGCCAGGCCGTGGGGGGATCTGCCAGCAGCCAGGGGGCTGCCAGCCCTGGGCAGGGTGACATGGGCACTGCGGGGCCCTAAAGGGCCACTGGGAGTGGTTATGATGCGGGACTTGGGGCCTGGCCCCTGCCGGCACTTGGTGAGACCCAGGTAGTAGATCTCCACCAGGTTGAGCAGCAGGGACACGCAGGCCACCCCCAGCATGAAGAGGATGAAGATGGTCTTCTCAGTGGGCCGGGAGATGTAGCAGTTGACAGTGTTGGGGCAGGGCCAGCGGCTGCAGGTGTAGAGCGGTTTCAGCTGGAACCCGTACAAGGCGTACTGGCCCACAATGAAGGCCACTTCCAAGAGAGCCTTGAAGACAACGTTGCAGATGTACGTCCTCAGGATGGCCCCCCGCATGCAGACCCGTCCCCGCGTGTCCCCTGCAGGGAGCTGGGGCTGCCTGGAGCGCGGCCGCCTGGCCCCACTGCCGGCCCGCGCTGCCGCTTGCTGCTGTGCCTTCTCCTCCAGATGCACCAGGTGCAGGATGTGGCCCAGATACACAAGGCTGGGGGTGGAGACGAAGATGATCTGCAGGACCCAGAAGCGGAGATGGGAGATGGGGAAGGTGCTGTCATAGCAGGCGTTCTGGCAGCCGGGCTGCTGCGTGTCGCAGGAGAAGCCAGACAGCTCGTCACCCCAGACCCGCTCAGCGGCTGCCCCCAGCACCAGGATGCGGAAGACGAAGAGGACGGTGAGCCAGACCTTCCCCACCACTGTGGAGTGCTCCTGGGCGTTCTCCAGCAGCCGCCCCAGCAGGCTCCAGTCCCCCATGGCACACGCTGCCCTGCAAGACAGCCGCCCTCCAGACACAGCCATCCCACAGCCCACCACACCGCCACCCCATCCCCCAGATGGGCAGGAGTGCACAGACCCAACCCAAGGCTGTCCCTGCAGTGTCCCCATCCCAAGGGACCCCCTAACCCATCACAAGGAAGGCAACGGGAGCAAAGGCCTCCAGCAGAAATCTGGGAGCACCAAGGGGATTCCTGGGGACTCCTCACCGTAGGTGGGTGTGTGGGGCAGAGCCCAGTGCTCCCGTGCCGTCGGCTCCCGGGATGCAGGATGCTGTGAGGCCCCTTCCCAGCTGGTCCCCAGCTCCTCAGTGGGTGCGGACAGGTCTGCCTGGCTTCCTCTGTCCGTTCACCCAACAGCGGGCGTGGGGTTATTGGGGCACGAGGCAGCTCCGTGCCCCATTGGCTTTCATTGTGACTGGCACATGGAACAGCCACTGGGGAAACCTTTTCCCTCTATTTTTGGTCTGGGCACTTTTCTAAATATATTCGGGGCTGCAGGGGCTGGTGCTGGGGGAGCACAAGCCCTTGGACACTGATCAATGCCACCCAGGGGTCACTGCTCCTGCAAGCTATCTGCCAGGGCACCACAGCCCCAGCTCAGCCCAGGCAAGCACTGCAGCCTCCACAGCCCCTGGTGCCACCCACCAGGGCTTGGGCACAGGAGTGGGCACCCCACACTGGCACCCCAGCTCCCGGCATGCCCCGGCCAGAGCAGAAAGGAGGGAGGCAGCACCTGAGAATGGAGATTTAATGGCCCAAGATGCTCTCCTGGCCATCTAGGAGAGCCCGAGTGGTGCCTGAGGAATGCTATCCTTGGGACAGGGACAGCAACAAGGCCGTGGGGCGACTGTGGGGCAGGGTCCCCCACAGTGCTGGCCCTAGCAGGCAGAGCAGCGGTCACCCTTCTCCTGCAGCCCAGAGTTGCGGCGCAGCATGTCCTTGAGGGAACCGTCCTGCTCTGTCAGCAGCTGGTTGATCTCATTCTGCTTGTACTCGGAGGAATGCTTGTGCCCATAGAAGGAGCTCTTCCCCGACGAGGGGTTGGAGTTGTGCCGGCTCCGGCGGGCACAGGCCCGCACCACCAGGTAGACCAGCTCTGCCATATTGAGGACAATGCAGATGCTGGAGGTGACCAGCATGAAGACGGTGAAGATGGTCTTCTCAGTGGGCCGGGAGATGAAGCAGTCAACAGTGTTAGGGCAGGGATAAGCCTCGCACTTGACCAGCCGCATCATCTGGTAGCCCGGGTAGAGCATGTAGAAGATGTACATGAACACAGCCTCGAAGAGCAGCCTGAAGACCACGCTGCAGACGTACGTCCACCACAGCGAACCCGAGATACGCATCTTGTGCTTCTTCACCTCTTCCATGTGCTTGGCATCTCCATGCCCCGTCAGCAGCAGCAGCTTCTTCTCCTGGTGCTGCTGGTAGGCCACGTGCATGGCTACAAGAAGGGCTGGTGTGGTGACAAGAATGAGCTGCAGGGCCCACAGACGGATGTGGGAGATGGGGAAGAAGTGGTCGTAGCAGACACTGTTGCAGCCAGGCTGCTGGGTGTTGCAGGTGAAGGCGGATTTCTCATCCCCCCAGACACTCTCAGCTGCCACCACCAGCACCATTATCCGGAAGATGAAGATGACGGAGAGCCAGATGCGGCCGATGGCGGTGGAATGGCGGTTCACCCCGCTCAGGACCGTGTAAAGCCCAGCCCAGTTCATAGTTTCTCACGTCTGCAGGAGAGAGCAGTGAGAGACAGTGTTAGGAGCAGGAAGGGTCCTTGGCTGAGAGCCACCATGTCCTGGCCCTGGTGGCAGCAGCCCTGGGAGCAACTGGCTGTCACAGCCCTGGCAGGTGGACAGCAGGATGAACAGAGAGCAGGATGGCAGAGTGGCTCCTGCTGCTGACAGGGCTCAAGGCAGCATTTTGACCAGACCAGGCAGGAGACCATCTGGCCCTGAAGTGCCACTCCTCCCCTGCCACCCCACACTGGCACAGGGATCCTAACCCACAGCTGCCACAGAGGATGGCAGTGAAGATTGCACACCTCCACAGGGACCCCCAGTCCGCACCCAGTGCTGCGTTCTTAGGCTAGGAATGGACCCAAGGAGCTCCATGGGCTCCTCTGCACCAGCACATCCCTTCCCTTGTCACCCCACTCCCTGTGGGAGCAGGGCCAGGGAACCCCCTATGCAGCCACGCATCGTCACCCTCCCAGAACCATCCCTGCCTGGGGAGCATGAAGTGACCCCACACTCCAAGCACAGACCCCTGCCCCACCAGAGCCTCCCACTGGCACTGAGCAGCCCCGGGAGCTGCTTCCCACCCTGACATGAGGCTGCGGGGCTGGAACCTGCCCTCCAGCCACCCCTGGTATGGAGAGTGGTGTCAACGCGTACCTGCCGGTGAGAAAGGGTCCTCGCAAGCTGCCCCCAGTGGCCCCTCTAAGGTCTCATGCCTCCCGCAGGAGAGCTCTGCTCCGCCTGCCCTCGTCTCTCTCTGCCACTGCCCTGCACTGGAAGTCATATGCTGCTTTATAAACTATTTACATACAATGGGGCCTTTATCGGTCCCTGAACAACACACTTTAGCATTCAGATCTAACGCCCTGACTTCCGCCCACCCTGGCCCAACAAAGTGCCTGTGTGCTGCATTCCCGCTGCTCGGCCCCGCACCCACTCCCACCTCCCCACCACACCCCGACCACGGGGTGCCCATGGCACAGACCACGCCACAGACATCGCTGTGCTGGGCTGGCGACCCAGGCTGTCTGGAGGTCCCTTCCCTTCCCCAGCATGCACGGCAGA